CTCATCCCCACTTAATTTAGATGAGAACTAAATTTGACCTTCCTGTCTCTCAGTGATCTGAACATGCTGTCTGACCCTGATCACCCCCAGGCCCTAGAGAACCACGCCCAGCTGAAGCCTGGTACGTCACTCTAGTGTGGTTGTGGGTATACTACATAGGAATCATGGTCACTGAGTTGTAATGACACATGAATGTGTGTTTGTGCAGGTGACAGGCAGCGTTCTCCAGGAGTGGACCCTAAGCAGCTGGCTGCAGAGCTGCAGAAGGTGTCCCAACAACAGGGCCCTGGGATGGGGGTGGGGGTGGGGGGGCCAGGAGGGGTAGGGGTCCTTTCTGCCCTGGACCGCTCAGATCTGTTACACTCAGGCAATGCATCGGCCAGCTCTAGTGCCGTCCCCAGCCCTGGCCAGCCTGCCTCCCCAGCCATCAACAAGAAACAACGCCACAGCGCCAAGGTACTGCCTCCACTTGTAGTACATTAGGATATTAAGAGCCCATAGCTCTCTGTAGAGTGTGTTACTACAGCCATGTGGTTGGTGAGTTCATCATGAATAAGTCATAGACGTGTGTGTGTGGTGCATGGTGCGTGCATGTGTGGAGGTCTAGATCCACTGATTTACAGAAACATGACACTAATTATATAGAAACATGCATGATATGTGTGTAGAGCGAGAGAGAGATCATGCATGCATGCGTGGTTGTGTGTCTTTGTGTGTGTGCATTTGTAAATACACATTGTATTAACTACTTTCTATGATAGGTAGATTATGTAATTTACTGCATCTCAACTAACTGAATTAACCTTCTCTGACTGTACACCATGACCTTTCCAGTCTGTTAAACCTCTCCTAGTGAGTTTCCTCCTGGGTCCTATAGAGTCCATTCAGAAAAGTCTACTCAGCATTTCCATGACAAGGACAGGTCCTTCATCTGTCATCTGACCATAGCTATCCTACTCAGGGGCTCTGGCCAACCTACTGCTACTTAAAACCGTAGTATCATGGACATAGTAACTGAACTTTTCAGGCTGGCCAGAGGCCACACTACATTTACATTTTACATTTTAGTCATTTAGCAGACACTCTTATCCAGAGCGACTTACAGTTAATGAGTGCATACATTTTCACTACAGAGCAGGGACTCTCACAGCAGTGTGTGTGTGCGAGTTTGTGTGTTAATGTAAAGTGTGTGTACGTGTCAGTGAGACTGATATCGGTATAAACAGTGTATAATCTATACTTGTGTTTGTTTTTCAGTCAACAGCAGACGTGCAACTGCTGAAGCCTCAGCCTCATCCTATAAAAGGGGAAATACAGGTAGGCCTGTTGTCAGTCTGTGAAGTGGAGTGTGACTTTAATTTCTCCTGAATCCCCTCACTTGATTGATCCACTTAAGTCAAGAGCTATATGATTAGTCAGCACCAGGAGTCCTAGTGTTGAGCAACACTAATGTACACGCCTGTAGAACATAGTTAAACATACTGTCTCTCTGTCCACTCTGCCTCCTCCAGCTCCAGATCCACTATGACAGGAACCTGGGGAACCTGATAGTGCATGTCCTCCAGGCCAGGAACCTTGCTCAGAGAGACCCCAAAGAATACTCTGACCCCTTTGTCAAGGTCTACCTCCTACCAGGGAGAGGGTAAGACACTGCTTTCATCTGATCTGTCTGTCTGGATGCCATTCTCTCTTTTTCTTTCTCTCTCTCTCTCCTTTGCATTATCACTCTTCTCACCTCTCTGTCTCTCTGTTTGTACTCTAAGGAGTATTGCCCATTATATGATGGGCCTTTATTAAGCTGTGTTAGATTTGCTGTGTGCTCTTTGTGAAAGATTAATTGTAAGTACAGTAGAAGGCAAGGAGCCCATAGAACTGACAAGATAGTGACACATCCAACTGTGGGCTACTCTCATTTCTTATCTCCATGACTTCTAACTGGCGTCAGTTGGCATATTGACAGATACTACAACTTGATATGAAACTCTGTTTTGTAGGTACATCAAAGCATTCTATATTTACCGGTACTATAATATTTTCTAGAGCACTGATATTGTATGTGTGTGTGTGTGTGTGTGTGTGTGTGTGTGTGTGCGTGTGTGTGTGTGTGTGTGTGTGTGTGGTTTCTATATTGACTGCAGTGCTCTCTTCCTGAGTGCTATGATGTGATTGTGTAGTAAGGTTCAGCCCTCCTAGGAGATGATCAGTTTAGTAACATCTCTTCTTTCAGCCCCGTATCCCTCTCTCCTTCCATCCCTTCATCCTTGTCTCCATCCCTCTCTTCCTGTGAAAAGGCAGAAATCGATAGTCTTTATTTGACCTGTAACATTATCTGCTTTCTACTAGTGGCCCTATCAGCCCTGTTCATGGAATTATATACAGTACAGGTCCTATACCCCCCCCCCCCCCCCCCCAACACACACACACACACACTCACTCCTCCCACACATTCCTCTAGCTCAGTATAAATTGATTGTTTGATCTGTGTTTAAACAGTAGACAGTAGTAAATAAAGCGTGTCTTTATGTTTTTATGTTGTCTTTCTTTATCTCCTTCCCTTTATGTCTGTTTCTCTGACGGTTTCTTTCTTTTTGCTGTTCTTGTTGTTTGTTGTCTCTACCCTCCTCTCCCTCCCCTGGACTCTCAGACAAGTCATGGTAGTCCAGAACGCAAGGTAGTGTAGTGCTTCTCGAGCTCCTCTCCTTCTCTCCTTCTCTGCTCCTCTTCTTCTCTCCTTCGCTGCTCCTCTTCTTCTCTTCTTCTCTCCTTCTCTGCTCCTCTTCTCTCTTCTCTGCTCCTCTCCTTCTCTGCTTCTCTTCTTCTCTCCTTCCATGCTCCTCTCCTTCTCTCTCCTCTTCTCCTTCTCTCTCTTCTCTCTCCTTCCTTCCTGCTCTTTCTTCTCTCTCCTTCTCTGTCTCTCTCTCTCTTCTCTCCTCTCTGCTCCTCTCTTCTCTCTCCTTCTTCTTCCTCCTCTCTCTCTCTTCTTCTTCCTTCTCTCTTCTTTCTCTCTCTCTCTCTTCCCCTCCTTCTCTTCTTCTCCTCCTTCTCTGTCCTCTTCTCTTCCTTCTCTGCTCCCCTCCTTCTCTCTGCTTCTCTTCTTCTCTCCTTCCATGCTCCTCTCCTTCTCTCCTTCTCTGCTCCTCTCCTTCTCTTCCTCTCCTTCTCTTCTTCTCTTCTTCTCTGCTCCTCTCCTTCTTTTATTCTCTCCTTCTCTGCTCCTCTTCTTCTCTTCTTCTCTCCTTCTCTTCTCTCCTTCTCTTCTTCTCTCCTTCTCTGCTCCTCTTCTTCTCTTCTTCTCTCCTTCCCTTCTTCTCTCCTTCTCTGCTCCTCTACCTTCTCTCCTTCTCTGCTTTCAGTCAGTGTTTTTCCCCACGTAAATGTTCCTCCTCCAAAGTGCTTTTCCTCGTTGTCTCCCCCATCATTATTCATCATTATCCATTTTGTGTTGATATGTTGATAAAAACACTCTCCTGCTCTTCCTCTCTCTCTATCTAATCTTTCTCCACTTTATTTTTCTTTCTCTTATTTGTATCTCTGTCATCCTAAACAACTCATTTTTGTCTGATGTGCAAATTCAGCCAAGAACATTGCTGAGTTGAAATCAAGGTTGAAATGTGAAATCATTTCATGAGTCAGATGTGTTTTTCACACTATGCTCATCCTCTCTGCTACAGGAGAGGAGCTGTGCCTTACAGTCACATATTGATTCAACCTTACAGACATCACTATTTCTTTGACTTTCTTTGACTATTTCTGTGATGTTGTGATCCCGTCTAGCCAGTGTGCCTATGCAATTTACTCTCATCCAACATTTGCAAGACATGATGATATAATTATATTGAATCAGATATTCAATTATCGACATCCTGCTATATCATCTCTATATCTATCATCAAATGTAATTGGAGAAAATCTACAATAATGTGGCCATATTAACATACAAAGACCAAGTCTGAGACTAAACGTGTCCCTTTGTTATGACATCACAGTGCTGAGAACAAGAGGAGGACCAAGTACGTCCAGAGGAGTCTGAACCCAGAGTGGAACCAGACCGTCATCTACAAGAACATACACCTGGAACAGGTAGGAACACACATACATGCACACACACACACAAATGCAGCTACTGAAGCATGCATCACACACACACACAAATCCACATTGAAAATGATTTTGAATTAATTTTAATGTTAATCTTATTTCCTGTTGGATTGGTAGTTCTGAATCCTTAGGGATGTTCTGACTATACCTCTGTAGCCTCGGTTCCCATTACCAATCCACTGAAGCCCATAGCACCACTCATCTGGTTAGGTTTAACAATCCCCTTACAGACTACTAATCACCAGAGAGAGAAAGAGAGAGACAGAGACATCTTCATTCAACCTAACAGTAGCCTTTGCTTAGCTGCAATTCAGACAATGTAAGATGAGTGCAATCTATCCATACAGTGCTATCTCTCAGTGGACAGTAGTGGTTCTAGTCTAGTGGCTCTTCTGAGACTCTCTGCTGTTAGCTACTTCTCTCTATTCTGCCCACTGAGGTTGTAAATGCTGCTCTATCACCCACTCACTCCCCCACTCCCCTGCCAAGCACACACACATACGCACACACACACACACACACACACACACAAACACACAAATACATACACACCGACACATAATTACCCAGTCCACTGACTGGCTGGTTGAGTGAAATACAGTAAGTCTGCATGGGTGTTGTACTTGGCATAACTTGTTTAAATGCATTTGTTCATTTAATCACTTTTCACTTCTCCTCGCTCGCTCTCTCTCTCTCTCTCTCTCTCTCTCTCTCTCTCTCTCTCTCTCTCTCTCTCTCTCTCTCTCTCTTTCTCTGTCTCTCAGCTAAAGAAAAAGACTCTGGAGGTGACAGTGTGGGATTATGACAGATCTTCCTCCAATGACTTCCTGGGAGAAGTGAGTGTCTTTAGAATCAGACACACTCTGATTTAGACATCACCTACATTCACTTCGATCATTCCTTTAACCTAATGTCTCCTGATGCCATGTTTTTAAATGTTTTCTAGCCAAAAGCGGGTCATATTTCCAGCCTTATTGCTCCCTCTCTATAAGACTTTATTCAAAGCTAGTTTCATTATTTGTCAGTCTATAGAATGAATCCCACTGATCCTCTACTAAATGGAGAAGGATCCTAATTGTTTATAATTGTCACGATCGTCGACTGAAGACACGGACCAAGGCGCAGCGTGATAAGCGTACATACTTTATTTGTACTCAACACACGATCAAAAACAACAAACGATACGTGAAGTCCTAGGTTAACACCAAAACAAACCTTACGGAACAAGATCCCACAAAGACTAGTGCAAAACATGCTGCCTAAATATGGTCCCCAATCAGAGACAACGAGCTACAGCTGCCTCTGATTGGGAACCACCCTGGCCAACATAGATCTAAACGATCTAGAACAAAACATAGAAAACTATAACATAGAAAATCCACACCCTGGCTCAACATTTAATAGTCCCCAGAGCCAGGGCGTGACAGTACCCCCCCCCCCCCCCCCCCCCCAAAGGCGCGGACTGCGACCGCGCCACACAAACACAAGAGGATAGGGGCCGGGTGGGCATTCCGGCTCCGGGCGTGACCACCACTCTCTCTCCACCCCCCCGTTGCGCCCCTGGTCTGGTCCCGCTGGCCGGAGCTGGACTGGACACCGGTGGAGCGGATTGCTCTGGCTCCGGAGTGGAGCAGCTGACCGGTGCCGGACCAGGCACCGGTGGAACAGGTACGGGCCGTGCCGGACTGGACACACGCACCACTGGCTTGGTGCGGGGAGCAGGAACGGGCCGGACCGGGCTGACGACGCGCACCACTGGCTTGGTGCGGGGAGCAGGAACGGGCCGGACCGGGCTGACGACGCGCACCACTGGCTTGGTGCGGGGAGCAGGAACGGGCCGGACCGGGCTGGCGACGCGCACCACAGGCTTGGTGCGAGGGACAGTGGTGCGCTTCGCCAGCCCGGTCCGGGCATTTACCTTTGCCCATGGCCCTCTGCCCGCGAATATCTCCTCCCAAGACCACCATTTGCCCACCTGCGACATCGCCATCTTCTCCTCCTGGGCACGCTGCTTGGTCCTCTTATGGTGGGATCTTCTGTCACGATCGTCGACTGAAGACACGGACCAAGGCGCAGCGTGATAAGCGTACATACTTTATTTGTACTCAACACACGATCAAAAACAACAAACGATACGTGAAGTCCTAGGTTAACACCAAAAACAAACCTTACGGAACAAGATCCCACAAAGACTAGTGAAAAACAGGCTGCCTAAATATGGTCCCCAATCAGAGACAACGAGCTACAGCTGCCTCTGATTGGGAACCACCCTGGCCAACATAGATCTAAACGATCTAGAACAAAACATAGAAAACTATAACATAGAAAATCCACACCCTGGCTCAACATTTAATAGTCCCCAGAGCCAGGGCATGACAATAATGTAGAATGGTGGTGTGTTCACAGCAAACCTCGAAATACACTGAGTATACACTGAGTATACCAAACATTAGGTACACCTTCCTAATATTTTGCCCTCAGAACAGACTCAAATCGTCAGGGCATGGACTCTACAAGTTGTCGAAAGCATTCCACAGGGATGCTGGCCCATGTTGACTCCAATGCTTCCCACAGTTGTGTCAATTTGGCTGGATGTTCTTTTGTTGGTGGACCATTCTTGATACACACAGGAAACTGTTGAGCGTGAAAAATCCAGCAGTGTTGCAGCCTGGCACCTACTATCATACCTCGTTCAAAGCACTTAAATATTCTGTCTGGCCCATTCACTCTCTGAATGGCACACATACACAATTCATGTCTCAATTGTCTCAAGGCTTAAAGATCCTTCTTTAACCTGTCTCCTCCCATTCATTTACACTGATTGACGTGGATTTAACAAGTGACATCAATAAGGGAGCATAGCTTTCACCTGGATTCGCCTGGTCAGTCTATGTCAGGGAAAGAGCATGTGTTCTTAATGTTTTGTATATTTACTGTTTCCCTACAAGTCTTTGCTTACACAAGCACACCTGTCTACTCTCTCTGTATCTGTATCTGTCTCTGTCTCTGTCTCTGTCTCTCTCTCTCTCTCTCTCTCTCTCTCTCTCTCTCTCTCTCTCTCTCTCTCTCTCTCTCTATCTCTCTCTCTCTCTCTCTCTCTCTCGTTGGAGTGCATGCTGGGAGTGAGTCGTGAAGCAGTAGTGATTGTGAGAGCGACTGAAATTATTTTCACTCTATTGGGTTTTGGTGTGTGTATATATAAAGGGAACACTTAAACAACACAATGTAACTCCAAGTCAATCACACTTCTGTGAAATCAAACTGTCCACTTAGGAAGCAACACTGATTGACAATACATTTCACATGCTGTTGTGCAAATGGAATAGACAACAGGTGGAAATTATAGGCAATTAGCAAGACACCCCAAATAAAGGACTGGTTTTGCAGGTGGTGACCACAGACCACTTCTCAGTTCCTATGCTTCCTAGCTGATGTTTTGGTCACTTTTGAATGCTGGCGGTGCTTTCACTCTAGTGGTAGCATGAGCCGGAGTCTACAACCCACACAAGTTGCTCAGGTAGTGCAGCTCATCCAGGATGGCACATGAATGCGAGCTGTGGCAAGAAGGTTTGCTGTGTCTGTCAGCGTAGTGTCCAGAGCATGGAGGCACTACCAGGAGACAGGCCAGTACATCAGGAGACATGGAGGAGGCCGTAGGAGGGCAACAACCCAGCAGCAGGATTGCTACCTCCGCCTTTGTGCAAGGAGGAGCAGGAGGAGCACTGCCAGAGCCCTGCAAAATGACCTCCAGCAGGCCACAAATGTGCATGTGTCTGCTCAAACGGTCAGAAACAGACTCCATGAGGGTGGTATGAGGGCCCGACCTCCACAGGTGGGGGTTGTGCTTACAGCCCAACACCGTGCAGAACGTTTGGCATTTGCCAGAGAACACCAAGATTGGCAAATTCGCCACTGGCGCCCTGTGCTCTTCACAGATGAAAGCAGGTTCACACTGGGTACGTGACAGAAGTGACAGAGTCTGGAGACGCCGTGGAGAACGTTCTGCTGCCTGCAACATCCTCCAGCATGACCGGTTTGGCGGTGGGTCAGTCATGGTGTGGGGTGGCATTTCTTTGGGGGGCCGCACAGCCCTCCATGTGCTCGCCAGAGGTAGCCTGACTGCCATTAGGTACCGAGATGAGATCCTCAGAACCCTTGTGAGACCATATGCTGGTGCGGTTGGCCCTGGGTTCCTCCTAATGCAAGACAATGCTAGACCTCATGTGGCTGGAGTGTGTCAGCAGTTCCTGCAAGAAGAAGGCATTGATGCTATGGACTGGCCCGCCCGTTCCCCAGACCTGAATCCAATTGAGCACATCTGGGACATCATGTCTCGCTCCATCCACCAACGTCACGTTGCACCACAGACTGTCCAGGAGTTGGCGGATGCTTTAGTCCAGGTCTGGGAGGAGATCCCTCAGGAGACTATCCGCCACCTCATCAGGAGCATGCCCAGGTGTTGTAGGGAGGTCATACAGGCACATGGAGGCCACACACACTACTGAGCCTCATTTTGACTTGTTTTAAGGACATTACATCAAAGTTGGATCAGCCTGTAGTGTGGTTTTCCACTTTAATTTTGAGGGTGACTCCAAATCCAGACCTCCATGGGTTGATAAATTTGATTTCCATTGATCATTTTTGTGTGATTTTGTTGTCAGCACATTCAGCTATGTAAAGACAAAATTATTTAATAAGATTATTTAATTCATTCAGATCTAGGATGTGTTATTTTAGTGTTCCCTTTATTTTTTTGAGCAGTGTATATTGATTAGCTTAGTTGTTTTAAGGTTATCTTGTCTAACTATCACTAAGCACGTATAGGGGTGGTGGGATCGTTGAGGTTGTTTTTTGCGAGGGCACAACCAGCGGGTGGGGCTGGTTGCAATGGCCACTCGCGGAAGTTTGGAGTTTGAAAAACTTAGTTGGCAGCATGGAGTAAAGATTCTTGCTGCTGCCGGGTGTTCAGTGGAAGAATGTAGCTTGGCAGTGGGTGCTATCATTGGGTATGATAGCATCAAATCAGCCTCAAGGATGAATAGCGCTGTAGTGATATTTTTAGATTCCATTGAAAAGGTGAATAAGATAGTTGAGAGTGGTGTTGTGTTGTGGGAGACACAGACACCGGTATTTCCGCTTATGAATCCGGCGAAGAAAGTTATACTTTCTAACGTGCCACCATTTGTTAGAGATGAAGTGTTGGAGCGAGAGTTATCTCGTCATGGTCAAATTGTATCTACAATAAAGAAGGTTCTTTTTGGATGCAAATCTCCGTTGCTGAAACATGTCATGTCTCATAGGAGACAAGTGCATATGATTTTTAAAAAGGACATTGATGAACTGAATTTAGCATTCAGTTTTAAGATTTATGGATTTGATTATGTCTTCTACGCTTCTACTGAATCAATTAAATGCTTTACGTAATTGTCCCAAGAACGAGCGTGCAGAGTCTGGTAGCAGCTCTAGTGCTGGTGCAGCTAATGCACCACCGCGAAGGGATGAACATGCTAAGGGTGCAGGGGAAGGGAGAATGTGGGCAGATGTGGTTGGAAAAGTAGGAGAGGAAGGCAGTGTGGATACGGGGGCAATTGTGGTAGATCAGAACAAAGAAGGAGGGGAAAAAGTCGGTGAGATTGCGACTGCCGTCGCTGAGGTGGTGCTGGAAAATGAAATTGGAGGTCAAGAGGAGATTGAAATAATGGAAAAGGAAGCAGCTGTTTTCAAAGTACCGAGGAGTAAGAGAAAGAATGTAAGGGGTGGTGAAGGGTCTAATTCCAGGAGGAAGGTAGAGATTGATAAATCAGTTGAAGATAAACAGGTTGTAGAGATGGAGTTTTCTTCTGGGGAGGATAGCGAGAGTGAGTCATCTGATGCGTCACAACAAAATAGTGAGCTAAATGGGGTGGACGGGAGGTATGGGATTGAGAAGGTACGTCAATTTCTGAAGTTGACAAAAGGGAAGAAATATATGCAGGATTATAATGTAACATATTTGTTTCCCTGAAAGTGAAATCTTTATTGAATCAGCAAAGTTTCTGATGTCAAAAATAGCAGGGGGAGGTTTGACAAGCCCTGAAATTGCTAGACTCAAGAAAGTGGTCACGAGAGTGATAAGTGATGGAAATTCTAAAGAAAATGAAAGAGTTCAGTCGCAGCCTTAACTCTGTAAAGAGATGTGGTTTCTGTGTCTTCCTCTGTATTTTTTTCCATCCATGAGCAGTTTTAAGATTTCTTCTTTAAACGTAAATGGGGCAATATACGTTAAAAAAAGAGCCATAGTGTATGAGTTAATTAGGTGAAAAGGAAGTGACATAAATGTTCTACAAGAAACGCATAATAATTTGGAAAATGAAGTTATGTGGCAACAGGTGTGGGGGGGGGGGGGGGGGGGGGGGGGGGGGGGGGGGGGGGACAGAGGTGTGTAGTCATAGAAACTCAAAAAGTGGGGGTGTGGCCATCTTGTTCTCAAAAGGGTTTTTGCCTTTGTCATATGAGGTTGAGGAGGTAGTTGAGGGGAGGTTATTAAAAGTTAGAGCAAGGTATGAAAACATCAGTATGTGTCTGATTAAAGTATATGCCCCAGTGGTGGCAGTTGAGAGGGTATGTTTTTTAGAGACATTATCAAATACCATTGAGAAATGTAATAATGAAGATTATTTATTTATTGCTGGGGATTTTAACTGCACAGTCAGTGATTTAGATAGAAATCACAAAGAACCTCATATAGCCTCAACAACTTTTTTAAAACGCCTCATTGTAACACATGAACTGTGTGATATTTGGCGGAGTCAACATGGAGGCACGAGACAGTACACCTGGGCGCATGTGAGAGAGAACACCATCTCTATGGCCAGGTTAGATAGGTTTTATTGTTTTGAGCATCAATCTCAGGTCTGTAAATCAAGTGTGATAACCCCAGTGGGATTTTCGGATCATTGTTTAATAACAAAGGTGGTGTTCATTAACGATGTAAAACCCAAAAGTGCATACTGGCATTTTAATATAACTTTATTGAGTGATGCTCACTTCAGGAAATGTTTTAGTTTTTTCTGGGAGAGGTGGAGGTCTCAAAAGGCCAGTTTTGTATCCCTTCAACAGTGGTAGGATATAGGGAAAATCCAGATTCAACAATTCTGTAATAATAATAATAATATGCCATTTAGCAGACGCTTTTATCCAAAGCGACTTACAGTCATGCGTGCATACATTTTTGTGTATGGGTGGTCCCGGGGATCGAACCCACTACCTTGGCGTTGCAAGCGCCTTGCTCTACCAGCTGAGCTACAGAGAAGCACGTGGTATGTCACCAAGGATACCACCAGATCAATGAAAGCCCTAGAGACTGAAATAGTGGAACTCATGACGTTGGTTGAGACCACAGGAGATCGAGGCCATACTCAGGCCCTCAAGAGGAAAAAAGCTGCATTGGCAGACCTGCTGGGTATCAGAGCACAGGGAGCATTGGTGAGAAGTAAGTTTCAGGGAATCTCTGAAATGGTGGTTTAATTTTTCTTTGGTTTAGAGAAAAAGAATGGACAAAGAATAATTATTCATTGTCTCAAATCAGCTGTTGGACAGGAGCTCACTAGCCCTAGTGAAATTAGAAAGAGGGCAGTAGAGTTCTATGCTGAGCTCTACAAGTGTGAGTACAAAGAGGATAAAACAGTGACACAGCAGTTCCTTGATGGGCTCCCACAGGTGGCTGCAGAAGCTCAGGTTGAGCTAGAGCAACAAAATGGAAGGGCACCAGGTATTGATGGGCTTCCCGTTGACTTTTTAAAGTCTTTTTGGGCTATATTGGGAGAGGATTGGCTAGCAGTAGTTAGTGATAGTTTAACCGGAGGGTTACTACCAATAAGCTGCAGAAGGACTGTCCTCACCCTACTGCCCAAAAAGGGTGACCCTAGGGAGGTGAAGAACTGGAGGCCGGTGGCTTTATTGTGCACTGATTATAAGATCCTGTCAAAGGCTTTGTCAAACAGGCTGAGGGAGGTGATGGGGCAAATCATACATCCGGACCAGTCCTACTGTGTTCCTGGCAGGCAGATAGGGGATAACATTTCTCTGATTCGTGATTTTTTTGGACGTCTCTAGGGCTATTGGGTTGGATGCTGGTCTAATTTCAATTGATCAGGAAAAGGCATTTGACAGAGTTGAACATCAGTACTTATGGCACACTTTTGAGGCGTTTGGGTTCAGCTCTGGCTTTATTGCCATGATAAAGGTGATATATGGTGACATTGAAAGTGTATTGAAAGTTAACGGTGGTTTGAGTGCTCCTTTTCAAGCGTGTAGAGGTATTAGGCAGGGATGTTCTTTGTCGGGAATGTTATATGCCATTGCTATAGAGCCACTACTAAATAGCATTAGAAGTCGTATTGAAGGGGTGTACCTTTCAGAAGATATTCCTCCTATTCGTCTCTCAGCCTATGCTGATGACGTAGTTGTTTTAGTGAAAAATCAAGCGGAGGTGGATAGTTTGAGTCTAATGGTTGATCGTTTTAGGGGAATATCCTCTGCAAAGGTAAATTGGGAAAATAATTGTGCTTTACAGATTGGAGAATGGTCTGGAGGGATCATGGCTTTGCCAGGGGGGCTGGAATGGTGTAAGGGAGGTTTTAAGTATCTTGGAGTGTACCTAGGAGATGAGGGGACAATGGAAAAAATTTGGATTGGGGTGGTTGAAATGGTGGAAGGGAGGATGAGGAGATGGCGTTGGTTGTTATCTCGTATGTCATATAGGGGGCGCACTATTATAGTTAACAATGTGATTGCCTCTGCACTGTGGCATCGGTTGTCAGTTTTAGAGCCACCATCTGGCCTTCTGGCTAAGATAAAGGCAATTATTGTGGATTTATTTTGGGATAAATATCATTGGGTTCCACAAAGTGTTTTGTATTTGTCAAAAGAAGAGGGGAGACAAGGTCTTGTACATCTTGCTAGTAGGGCTGCTGCTTTCCGGTTTCAGTTTATTCAAAGGTTGCTTTATGGACCGGAAAATGTGGTTTGGAGAGGGGTGGCAGGTCTTGTGCAGGTTGGGGGATTAGGTTTAAAGAAGGCTTTATTCTAGGGAGGGAGTACCTCCATTTTACAGAGGCCTTCTTAGGGTGTGGAGCATAATGAAGGTGTCCAGACGAACTTCAGCGGAGTCAGTGCATTGGCTGTTGGAGGAACCTCTGGTTTATAGGGCAAGACTGGATTGTACAACTGCAGCTGTTCCACATTTCTCCAAGATTCTGATGAAGGGCAAAATCATCACCTTAAAACAATTAATGGCCATGGCTGGGCCCGCCTTAATGGATGGAAGACGGATGGCTGAACATTTGGGGGTGAGGTCGGAAAGGATAGTCAGACAACTGCTGGGAAGCTGCAGGAAGGCTCTGTCAGCAGAAGAGTGGGGTATGCTGAATAGTCACAAGAAGAAGGTACAAGATGAAAATGTCTCATTTCCAAGACTAGGGATTACACTCAATATCCCAGAGTCAGAAAGAAAGGCGTTATTACTGGATTTGAGAGGGTTGGAAGAGGTGGGTTTGGATGAGGTGAATGGGAAATACTTATATAGGGGGTGTGTCAAGGTGTTGAATAAAGATACATTGAAAAATAGAAAAGACACTCCATGGAAGGTAAAATTGGGCATTGATGACAAGGTAAAGCCAACATGGGAGCACTGTACAAGCCACCGTTACAAAAGGGTACTGGGGAGTCTTTGTTTAAAGCTGTAGGGGAGATTTTCAATAACACTGTTTTTATTTTTGGGTTTCAATATAGTAAGCAACAGAAAAGAAAATGTCAACTGTTACATTTTATTTTGGGACAAGCTAAGATGTACATTTTTCTGAGTAGGACACATAAGATAGAAATGGGATATGGGCAGGATGTAAGATGTGTTTTTAAAGGATTAGTGAAAGCGAGAATAAAAGTGGATTTTGAGTTCTTCTCGGCTGTAAAAGATCTCCCATTGTTTGAGGAGAAGTGGGCCTACGAAGGAGCAGTTTGTTTTGTGGAGGAGGGGAAACTATTTTTAGTTGATAAAATGAGTTGAATGTATATGTTTTTTTGTATTTCTATTTAATTTATTTTTATTTTTATTTTTGTTTTCATTTTTATTTAGGAATGACATTTGTTGTTTCATTTCTGAAAAGGCAGTGTGCCATTATTTATGTTAACACTTGAGTATAAAATAAAGGTTTTATTAAAACTCAAAACAAACCTCTCTCTCTCTCTCTCTCTCTCTCTCTCTCTCTCTCTCTCTGTATCTATCTCTCTCTCTCCAGGTGTTGATAGATCTGTCTAACACGTCCCAGCTGGACAACACTCCTCGCTGGCTGCCTCTGAAGGAGCAGAGTGAGAGCATCGAGCACAGCAGAACCCACCACACCGCCCATGGGCCTGGGGGGCCAGGAGCAGGGGCAGGGCCGGGACAGGGGCCCATAGCGGGGCAAGGACCAGGACAGGGCATGGGGCCAGGGATGGGCCAAGGACAGGGACAGGGGCAGGGACAGGTACTGTACTGTATTCATTGTCTACTATCTATCCTTGTCATCATTGATTGTATATGTTCATATTAACTTAATGAATTAAGATTATATATTATAATGCATAAAGCACATTGAATTGAATCGTATTGACAGATGGGGGAGTGCCATGAGTCCCCCAAGAACTCTGTGATAAAGAGCAGGAGCCACGGGATCTTCCCTGACCCAGCAAAAGGTAGGAGCCTCTTCCAGCTGCCTTGTTGCTTTTAACTAACGCTTGCCATTGTGTGGTTTAGCCACCCTGTTGCTTTACAGTTTTTCTTATTTTCCGTTTTGCTGATTGCCACTCTGTTGTCATAGTGAGAGAACATGTAGTCATGGTGACAGTTTTGCTAATGGCTGTCATAATTATACTTTTAGTGCCAGTCACTTATCTGGTTCAGTGCAATCCATGTTGTGGTGTCAACCATGTTTTTTGTCATGTAGCAGACGCTCTTATCCAGAGAGACTTACAGTTAGTGCATTCATCTTATGATAGCTACTGTAGGTGAGACAACCACATATCACAGTCATAGTAATACAATTTATTCTCAATAAAGTAGCTATCAGCAAAGTCAGTGCTAGTAAGAAAAGACAAGGGCAGGGTATTAGTTCAAGAAAGTCAAGGCACTTTTTTTATCTTTTTTTTTGCCACAGTACAAATGTGTAACTACTATATGGCTCTTTTAGTGACTTTTTGAGTACAGACACTTTAAAGACATTCCCTTTCTCTCCTCTATCTCCTCTCCCTCCCTCTCCCCATCTCTATCTCTACCTCCCCTCTCTCCTCCCTCCTCCTACCTCTCCCAGACATGCAGATGGTGACTCTAGAGAAGTCCCACAGTAGTCCAGGCAGCTCTAAGTCGTCTTCAGATGGCCAGCTTCGTTCCCACGGTCCCTCCCGCAGCCAGAGCAAGAGCAGCGTCACGCAAGCCCACCTGGAGGATGCTGGGATAGCTATAGCTGCCGCCGAGGCCGCCGTGCAACAGTCCCGCCTCCTACCAAGTAATCCCCGCTCCTTCCTGTGACCCACTTCCTCTCTGCTCTGCCACGCATGCTTGCTCATCATCTCTCCGTTTATCTCTCCTCTTGTTCTATCACTCCTTCTTTTCTCTTATTTTCCTCTCCCTTCTGTTCTGGCCTTCTGATTGGTTCTTCTAAGCAATTAGTTGGTTCCTCTAAGCAATCAGTTCTATTCTGTTGGGTTTTCTTGTTTGCTCTAGTGGTGGAACACCCACCGATCTAGTCAGAGTCCATCACTAAAACATTGCATGGCAGATCTTATAGTAGACACTGGCCTGTGGAGAAAACATCTCAATCTAAAATCTATATTAAAAATGAATTTAAAACTGCTGTTCTCACACTAAACACGCAAAATGTGTATGGTCGTCCGTTTCTCTGACGTTACTGTGAAGCCTGCAGGGTTGGGGAAAGTAGGGCAAAGCACCGTTTGGGCTCAGAGTGAGCAGATTTACAACATACGCACATCAGACACTCACAGTAGCCCAGAGTATGAACAGTAACACACAGGACAGAGAGGGGACAGCCACAGTTCAGCAACTCCTGTCTCTACTCCCCAGTCTAAATAGAGTGAGGATATACATGTCTATTTCCAACATGGTTTCTACTCTTTCCCAGTGTGATCCCCTATCTATCCTCCAGGTCTAGAAACCATGCTAGAGCTTGACCCCCAGGTTGTGGCATGCAGTCCCCCCCCCCTCTCCTGGTGTTGGTTCGGGTGTCTGGACCACTCCCCTAACTGCCCTTCCAGATTGGAAAAGGTCAAGCCCCCGTAGGTGTGTGTGAGCAAGTGTGAGTGTGTGTGCATGTGTGTGTGACCCCTGACCCCTAAGTGTGTCCAATGATACACACACCCTGAGATGTATAGTTTACCAGTAGCCCTTCCTCACTTCCCACCCCCGACGTGATGAGGTTATAAACCAGGACACACCAGGAAGTACAGACAGAGCAGCATGGGGGACAAAAGGCAACAGGAAACTAACTCTACACTCACCGGCCAATGAAAGTAAAGACAGGAGTCTGACCTTCAGGGGAACAGCAGTGTCTGGGGAAGGTGAGACAACAGGACGGGAGTATAGACATTATAAACAGAAATAATATAACCTCACTAACCAAACTGCAGGCCTTTCTCTCCTCTAGACAAACATGGTCTCAATAAGAAACATAATACAACTTAATGATCATGTAAACCATTTAGAGTTTTGATAAATACGTGTAAATAGTCAAAAACGTCTCAATAGTTGCTTTGGTAATTATTTAAATGTATAATAAATATGCATCTATTCAATAAATTACCATAACTATTATTTTAGCATCACTCTTCACTGTTTCTGAATTATTATAATATTTCTGTTACCCATACGTACTTTGCTATGACATCATGTTTATTCCATGGTTTATATGTTTCAGTAACACTTTACATAAATATCTCTGTTATAATGCTTTAGAACTTGTTAAAAGTTATATGTCTTATAAGAAGGCTTATATTTTTTGTCTCGCTTTGCATAACCTTTTCAACCGTCTCAAACTGGCTGTTATTCAGGATCATTATAAGATATTTATATCCGGCCGCGATCGGGAGACCCATGGGGCGGCGCACAATTGGCCCAGCGTCGTCCAGGGTAGGGGAGGGAATGGCCGGCAGGGATGTAGCTCAGTTGGTAGAGCATTGCGTTTGCAACGCCAGGGTTGTGGGTTTGATTCCCACGGGGGTATGAAAAATAATGTATGCACTCACTAACTGTAAGTCGCTCTGGATAAGAGCGTCTGCTAAATGACTAAAATGTAAATGTAAAATTATAAAGGGGCCATACATGCTCATGACAGGTCTTACAATGCATTATAACTACATCATAATAGATTGTTATTTAAGTAAAGTGTCACCCATGTTTGTTTTAGTCTGTTTGTCGGTAAATGTATAATTATCTGTAAGCTTAGGCAGGTTATGTTCATTGAACACTTTTTTTTTTTGTGGACACCAGGAGGAAAAACTGTTCGTAACAGCTAATGGGGATCCAAATAATCAAATGAATAAACACTGTGACCACAGATGTAGCTGCAGCATTTACATACACATTAATCAATGAGAATAGTAATAACCATTTTTATATTATAGTTTATAGAATATTATGGACACACATTATCAATGTAGTGAAATGGATCTCACTTTCTCTCCCTCCTACACTCACACACATGCAGTCATTCTCTGCCCCTCCTCTCTCTCCCCCTCTCTCTCTTTCCCCCAACCCTCTGTAGGACCGGGCCACAGGTTAGGGGATGTGTCGGGGCCGGTGGTGTCCTCAGCCCCCAGTCTGGTGGAGGGGTATGGGGGTCTGGATGGAGAAGAGGGGGCTGGCACAGGGGTGGACAGTGCCATCTTCCAGGTCCCACGAATGTGAGTAAACAGCCTGTGTGTGGGGGGCAGGGTGCGAGCATGATGGGTGACCTTACCTGAGACCTGAAGACTTGCGTTAAATCCCCAAGAAAGGTTCACAGGCTTTTGGTGTTGGATGATGTATCACATACATGTTTTGTATCTGTGGATCTAATGTGTGTTCATTTCCAACAGAGGGAAGATCATCCCCAACGGTCCTGACAAGTCAAGAGGACTGCCACTCTCGCTATCAGACAGTGAGGGTAAGACTGTGTGTGTGTGTGTGTGTGTGTGTGTGTGTGTGTGTGTGTGTGTGTGTGTGTGTGTGTGTGTGTGTGTGTGTGTGTGTGTGTGCGTGCGTGCGTGCGTGCGTGCGTGCGTGCGTGCGTGCGTGCGTGCGACATTTCCTCCCTATCTCCCGAGTGGCGCAGTGGTCTAAGGCACTGCATCGCAGTGCTAGCTGTGCCACTAGAGATCCTGGTCCGAATCCAGGCTCTGTCGTAGCCGGCCGCGACCGGGAGACCCATGGGGCGGCGCACAATTGGCCCAGCGTCGTCCAGGGTAGGGGAGGGAATGGCCGGCAGGGATGTAGCTCAGTTGGTAGAGCATGGCGTTTGCAACGCCAGGGTTGTGGGTTCGATTCCCACGGGGGGCCAGTATGAAAAATAAAATAATGTATGCACTCACTAACTGTAAGTCGCTCTGGATAAGAGCGTCTGCTAAATGACTAAAAATGTTTTTTAAAATTTAAATAAACTTTGTCTTTACATGTATGCCATCTGCTGGACAGAACAGGAAATAACTCCAACAGGCAGTTTTAAGCCTATCTGTAATTGCCTGGTCCCGTGCATCGGAAGTAACTATCTCGCTCTCTGTGTCATAACTATATCTAGTATTCAGATAGCTCAGGTGTCATGGTGGCTCCTCTCTTTTTCTCAGTTTCTCCAGTTTCACTCCATAACAATAGACTAGGGGCCATCTTAGTGCACAACTGGGCAGCCATTATGGATTTTGGGTCAAAGGTTCATTATCATGACAACTGACTTCTCTAAGTTTTACTGTAAATGAGCGCACGTTTCCCAACCTGACCTCTAACCGAGTTACAGCCAGAGTGATGTGGCGGAGAATGGTTTTGGGTTCAGAACTGAGTTTAGTGAAACTGGAGAGAGGAGAGTCCTCCCCTGGGCCCATTGTGGTGCAGGCAGTATGTCAATAATGTGTTGGTGTTGAATAATTAACATCTGCAGAGAGAAAGGGTATGTGTATCTCACTGTAATTTTGCCTCTGTCACTGTGTCTGTCTCTCTCTCGCTCTGTCCCTCGCTGCCCCCACCCCCCTTGTTCCCTCCTACCCCTTCTGTCCCTCCTCTCCCAGGGGGTGGGGGTAAGACCCAGGTGATGGGGGAGATCAAGGTGGCTCTGAAGAAGGAGGTGAAACAAGAGGGAGACCAGCTGGTCCTGGAGGTCCTACAGTGTAGAAACATCACTTACAAATTCAAGAGCCCAGACCACCTACCAGGTAACTGTGTGTGTGTATGTCTGTCTGTCTGTCTGTCTGCCTCACTGACTGTCTGACCATCTGACTGTGTGTCTGTCTGTAGATCTCTATGTGAAGCTGTACGTGGTGAACGTGGCGACTCAGAAGAGGATCATCAAGAAGAAGACCAGAGTGTGTCGTCACGACAGAGAACCCTCCTTCAACGAGACCTTTAGGTTCAGCCTCAACCCCACCGGACACTCCCTGCAGGTAACACACACTCTAATAGACCTTGTGTTTATTTTACGCTGGTGTCCTGCTTTATTCAGACTGTTTATTGTTCCAACTGCTCCTATGACTGTCCTGTAATACTAGTACTTTTCACACATGAACGCACAAACACACACACTGGACACTACAAGTATGTGTGTGTGTTCCCCCCTGTCCCTAGTTGTTCCTGGTGTCTAACGGGGGTAAGTTTATGAAGAAGACCCTGATAGGAGAGGCCTACATCTGGCTGGACAAGGTGGACATGAGGAAGAGGGTTGTCAGCTGGCACAAGCTGCTGGTCAGCTCCACACACAGCCAGTCATGAGAGGTCAACTTGAGAGGACACAGAGGGGTCAACCAGAGGTCAGTGAAGGTCAATGAATACTCTTGGTCAATAGCTGTTCTTAGTCAAGACGAGGAGGAGGAGGAGGAGGAGTTGAGTTACACAGTGCCCTTCATCTCCTTTGTGTTATTCTATATGGAAAGAAGAGCGAGGGGGAGGAGAAGAAGAGATAAGAGGGAAGGAAGAGGGGTTGCGGGTACGGACATGCCCAAAAAGAACTGATCCTACTATTCCCTCTCCCACTGCCATACATGGTCTGTACCCTGATTCTTAATTGGACCAAAGATTATCAGAGACTGTACCCTGATTGGATAGACTGCCAGCACACACACCGAGGAATGAAGAAGTCCTCCGCTGTAAGAGGACATACATATCTCACCACCTCTCAGCACTCTGCTCGTCATGTCAGATGCAAAACCTGACGTCAATCAGGACTGGGCAGCAATATCACAGAGATAGTTACCATGATGGAACTACTCCTTTCTGTTCTGTCTGGATCTGATAATGTTGTTTATGGCTTATCAGATCATTATGATTATTGTGATTGATCTGTGATTCTGTCAGTCAGTCAGTCAGTCAGTCAGTCAGTCAGTCAGTGAGGTTCAAATTGATGTATTTGTTTGTGTGTTTTTGTCCTTGGATGCTTGACAAAGTATGGAATGTTTGTTGTAAGATACTATTTATGTTGTGTACAAAAAGTACAGTGCAATTCTATGGTTGATATTGCGGTAACTAAAGCTGACCATACCTGAACTCTCAAGTCCAGTAGGTGGCAGTAATGCACCATTACAGTTTGTTGCCAACTGCCATAAAACTCCAACTAGATGTTACCTGGGTAGATGTAAATGTACATTCAGATTTAGATAGATATATGTCAGAATATGAATCATATCAGAGACACAGTGTACAGAGAAATGTTATTTATGACCATAGATACAGATATTACAGATGATATGAGGTGTCTCCTCATGTACAGTTTATTCTAAAGACTACATTCTGTACAGACAAGGGTATGGAAGGAGCACAGACAATCCAATCCCTTTAGCTCTGGTGTTATGCAGTTATACTGGGTGTTATGCAGTGGAAAAATAGGAAAATGCAGTTCAAATGGTAAATGTAGAACTCATAGCACAACTGAGACATTAGAGAGGAGAACTACTACATGGATATCCCTCCTCTTACAGGTGGTAAGAAAAGAACAGATAGAAAGAGGATGTCAGGTCCCTTCCCTGCAAACTCATTGCAGTCTGATATATTGTGTTGTGAGAGAGTTTGTAACCAACAGCCACCGTTGTATCGTATAGAGACTTAGGCAGTCTCCCCTTTTTCTTTCTTTGATTGCAATTGTTAACAATAGCCAAATCAGATATAAAGTAACATTCAGTTGGCCAATCATATGGTTCACTGCAGCTCAGCGGTCAGTGGGGGGTGGTCAGTGGGTTGGTGTGGTCAGGAGGGTGGTGTGGTCAGGAGGTGTCCATGCACTAGGCATTTGAAGGCCAGAAGACCAGTGTCTGTGATGTCACCAATATCTTGCTCTGGAAGGCTATTCCATATATGGACAGCAGTGTGTAGGAATATTCCGTCCCCTCCCCCTATTATGTCCTGAATGTTACTCACTGAGGACGATCACATGATTTTACTGGACCCATCGGACTGTTTATGTTTTTGTGATGTCTTACGCACATGTGACTGGAGGCTTAAACAATAGTTTTGGTTTGAGAGCGAAACCTAGATTGCTGGCTACCTTGCCCAACCTGCAATCCGACAGAGGGATGTGTAGCCTCTCTCTGGTGAGGTCCTCTGCTCCCCTGTTTGGGCTGCTGGGCTGCTCACCTATTCTATGTTAAAGCAACAGGTAGACACACCGGTCCTCTACGTATGTGTGACATCACAGTCTGGTTCTGTAAAAAAAGATTAGCGTAAAAAAACAAAAATTGTATTTTGAAAAACGATGTGTTTGTTTAACAGAACACCCAACATCATGCTGTAAACAGTACACTGTAAATTGTACACTGTGCAGTCAGTGTCAGTGGATGTAAACAACACAGTGAACCAGCCTGTGTCACTGCCTCTGATCAAAGCTCTAAGTCATTACCTATGGCCCAGTCATAACATGGCCAGGACATACTGATACACACTGATATACAGTCCAGGTCTATGGGCTCAGTACCATATGGAGCTACTGTTGTTAGTATATTGTTATTGTCAGTGATCTGTGTAGTGGATCATAGTGAACAACATCATCAGGTGACCCTACAGAGCTAGTACCCACAACCCTACTGTCAGTGTCTGAAGGCATATCACTGAGCAACTAGGGAGGACAAATGCAATTTCCTAATAAATTAAGTCCATATCAGAGGCTCGAAATTCAGACACTGAGTCTAGATGTCACAAATGTTCATAAGACAAAGAAACATGCTTTTAAAGAGGGTTAGCTTTACAGAAAATGATGTTGTCGTGCCAACCTTGTTTTGTAAGCAAACCCATTGGTTGTGTTGAAGTAATTCTATGCAACATAGACCTTGTGTTTGAATGCATTTTCTTAACATGTAATATCAGTGAACATTGTGTCTGAAAATATGTATCTTATGAATAGAATTTTAATTTATTTTGGTTTATATATTATTGAATAAAAAAATTTAAAAAAATATAGAGAGATTTTTTTACTACTTAACAGATGTTATCATGTACATGAAGCTTGTGCACTTTAGTATTACATCGTTGATTGATTTCCTTGTCCTGTGTAATGTGTCATGACATGCAAGTTTAAGTGTCTGTTCCAGTTAGTGTCTCTATGTTGAGATGATATTGAGTCATGTTATCTGTGCTGTATGAAGAAGTTCAGACACCACTCTTTGATTTCCATGGCAAAATAAAAACTCAAAAAACAAAATCTACAATCACAGACAATTTAAGCTACAAATTGCTTCACAATGCACAAATCTGAGGAGACATCAATCTGTATGTTTGATTCAACCACCAACACATGTATGTATAAATCAATGATGATGAGTCTGAGGAAAAATAATAACAGGTTATTTTCAATGCCCAACTCCAGGACTGTCCAACAACCCTTCATGATCTCCTTAGATTTCCCTCAGCTAGATAGTTAATATCCATTGTTCCTCAGTCCGTTGCTAGTAACCGTGAAACCAATCAAATGTGTATCTGTGGGGTGTGAATGTGGCATACTCATCTGATCTGTGTAAATACAAAGTGTTTTTATTTTCTACAGAGATTGATGAATCATATTGTCTGAGGTTCGAGCATGTGAGTGTCAAAAAAATGCTAAAAACTCAAATCTGTCTGTCTGTCTGTCTGTCTGTAGTGGTGTGTGTGAGGTACTTATGTGATCAGACTGTGTTGTCAACCCATGGGTGTCTGACTGTACAACCATGTCACTGACGTCACTGAGCCAACCTGGATGTTGCATGTTTTGTTGGTGGTCTGTCAATATTTTTGCTTCCAGATTATGTTTAAAAAGAGAGAGAGAATATGTATAGATTTATCAGAAATTGTATGCCGACTGTATAAAGATTATGCTTGTAAAATGGTCTTGTTTTTCATTCAGTGTAAAAATGGAGAATCTAGCGTTCTGGTTTTGTGTTTGTACACAGGATGTGTTGAGATATTATTATGCAATTTGTGCTGTAAAAAACGGCTGTTTACCTAAAGTCTAAATAATAAATATAAAAAGAGATTTATTCCACAACCTGAAAGTAGTTTTGGTTTATTATTTGAGCGTGTTGTGTAATCTGCAAATATTATTTGTCATTCTGCTCTCTTATCTATACTCCAGTCAATTGTTTTCAATAAGACTTGTTTGAGCACTACTATTATTCCTGTATATTCGCTTCATGTCCAGCAGGGGGAAACATCCTCTCAGTAATGGCTCCTAATGAACTACAGTAGTGTTTCCCAACCCTGGTCCTTGAGTACCCCCAACAGTACACTGTTTCATTGTAGCCCTTGACAAACACACCTCATTCAACTCATTGAGGGCTTAATGATTAGTTGACAAGTTGAATCAGGTATGCTTGTCCAGGGTTACAATAACAATGTGTACTGTTGGTGGTACTCGAGGACCAGGGTTGGGAAACACTGGACTACAGGACTGAACAGAAACGTTGTACACGCAGGCGTGCACGGACACACACACATGCACACAGCTTGCACGCACGCACACACACACACACGCACGCACGCACGCACGCACGCACGCACGCACGCACGCACGCACGCACGCACGCACGCACGCACGCACGCACGCACACACACACACACACACACACACACACACACACACACACACACACACACACACACACACACACACACACACACACACACACACACACACACACAGAACAAAGACTTATGTGCTGTGCTGAGAGAATGTGTATAGCATGCATTAGTCTAGTACCTCTGCATCCCCAGTCTAGAGACTTCATCTCTGTCTATTATCTGTCAAGGCCTCCAGCCTCCTGCCTTTCAGCACTATCATGTCCTTCCTTTCTCTCTCTACTTCTCTCCCCTCTCTCTCCTCCCTCTGTCTCTCCTCCCTCTGTCTTTCCTCCCTCTGTCTCTCCTCCTCTGTCTCTCCTCTCCGTCTCTACTCTGTTCTCTCTCTCCTCCTCTATTGTTCTCCTCCTCTGCTCTTCTCCTATGTCTCTCCCTCTCTCTTTCTCTCTCTCGTCATCTCTCTCTCTCTTCTCCTCTCTCGTCTCCTCTCTGTCCCTCCTCTTGTCCTCTCTGTCTCTCCTACTCTTTTTCTCTCTCTCTCGCTCCATCGCTCCTCCCTCTCCGGTCGCTCCTCCCTCTCTCCTCCCTATCTTCATCACCTCTCCTCTCTCCTCTCTCTTCCTCTTCTTGTGGTCGTCCTCTCTCCTATCTCTTCTCTCGCTCTATCTCTCTCTCTCCCTCTTCTCTCCCTCTATCTCTCTCCTATCTCTCTCCTCTGTCCTCTCTCTCTCTCCTCTCTCTGTCTCTCCTCACTCTCTCTCTCCTCTCTATGTCTCTCCTCTCTATGTCTAGGCAGATCTCACTGTAGAATACATCTCCATGGTACATCTGCTCCCTTGCGTACACCTTTGTGGATGGAGAGAGAGACAGTTTATGTATAAGAGAGAATGTGTGTGTGTGTGTGTGTGTGTGTGTGTGTGTGTGTGTGAGAGAGAGAGAGAGAGAGCGAGAGAATGGGAGATGAGAGAGGGTGAGAGGACTAGAGAGATGGTGTGCGGTTGCTAAGCAACGATTGATAACCAAATCCCCAAGCATCCCAGATGTGTTGCCCTGCCCTGCCTCTGGGTCGGACTGTCTTACTGGCTCATCTGTTGTCCAATCAGACATGGCCTCTGAGAGCCTAATCAGGGGAACTAGAACACATAACACAGCCTGGCTGTCACCTGATATACTGTATAATAGATACAGTAGATTGGTTACATTGTTTTCTACGCCCATTTTATTTTAAAATGTACTACCAATATTTTAGACAACCCATAGGCAAAACATATAGAGTAGGTGATTGTGTGATTGCATGTTTACTGTAACCCCTGCTGTACATAATGCTTGTCTTGTTGGCATACGAACAAAAGGCTATGTAGGCCTAGCTTTTGGCACAACATCCTTGGCCCGGTAGCCATTATGTCACACATAGCACTTGTAAAACCCTTTAGATGGATCACATTGTGAAGAATTTGATACTCTAAATCACTATCTCATAACAGTATGTTCAATGGTGCGATCAATAAGCTATCAGTCACCGCTGTCTTCTGACAAGTCTGCTAGGGGTTACTCACACTGTCTCTCTGTCTGTCTGGGGGATGATGATGATTGGTAAAGACTCCCAGAGAAATGGTTTAACATCAAACTGAGTAAAATATGGTGTGTGTGTGTGTGTGTGTGCTTGTGTGAGAGAGAGATGTCAACCCAATAGAGCATCCCTGATAGGCTATGTATCTGTGACTAACATCACCTCAGACAGACAGACAGAGAGAGAGATAAATAAATAACCAATCAGGTACCTGTTAGAGCGCTGATGCCAGTTGATCAGATTATCGGTGGCGGGGCTGGGTTATCTCCGAGTGTGTGACACTCACTGCTGGTTTGGCGTGGCCCATTCTACACACTCAAACACGCAGCTGGAGAGGGGCGTAGTGTATGAATGTGCGTGCGGGTGTTTGGACGGGGAGTTGGCGCCTGGCAATGGACACCTACAGACCACACTCCGTGTTTATTTTACTGTTGTTATCGTCGGATATTTGTCTGCCGTCGCAGTTTCCAACACAACTCATGTAAGTACTAATCTAATCCCAGCCTATAGCTTCTCAAATCCCAACTCTTGGTTGTGTGACTCTGTAAATGCAACTGATTAATTATGTGTGTGTGTGTGTATGTGAGTCTTTCCTAACAATGAACAACTAAAACAATGGTATCTGAGGAAATACTGTGATTAGAAGCGGGTTAGACCAGTCTTGCGGTTTAGCACCTTGTCATCTCCCCCGGTATATTTGTTAACTTGTTGTTACATCGCTGCGCTATTATGTCTGGATTGTCTGGATATGCAATAGAGGCGGTAGGATGGGCACCGGTCCCGTTTCTCTCCTTATTTCAACCGTCTGCTTTTCCTACACCTAGCCATGACATATTCAATGTATTTATAGCCTGTGTGTGTGTCAGTGCGGCTGTTAATGAGACATGTGTTACTTTCACTAGTAGATTCCTGTGTGATGTTTGCCTTCGTTTGTTTAGGTTATGTGATTAATGACAATAACGCGCGCAGTGTCGCGGGCAGATTGTCGCTGTTGCCTGGCCAAGGGATAATGTCCTGTCAACTTGTTGAAACAACCTGGACTCAGGGGTTGACTAATCTGTCTTCCTCCATTTAGTATGATATGTTACGTTTCCCATGGTATGTATTCATTTGTGGATGCCCATCATCCATTTCGTATGACATGTTATGAATTACAATTCGTATGATATATTAGGAATTGCAATTTGTAAAATATGTAACGGATTTGCAATAGTCCTTCAGTTTGCCAAAAGGCACCTAAAGACTCTCAGACCATGAGAAACAAGGTTCTCTGGTCTGATGAAACCAAGATTGAACTCTTTGGCCTTAATGCCAAGCGTCACATCTGGAGGAAACCTGGCACCATCCTTACAGTGAAGCATGGTGGTGGCAGAATCATGCTGTGGGGATGTTTTTCAGCAGCAGGGACTGGGAGACTAGTCAGGATCGAGGAAAAGATGAACGGAGCAAAGTACAGAGAGATCCTTGATGAAAACCTGTTCCAGAGCGCTCAGGACCTCAGACTGGGGCGAACGACCCTAAGAACAAAGCCAAGACAACGCAGGAGTGGCTTTGGGACAAGTCTTTGAATGTCCTTGAGTGGCCCAGCCAGAGCCCGGACTTGAACCTGATCGAACATCTCTGGAGAGACCTGAAAATAGCTGTGCAGCAACGCTCCCCATCCAACCTGACAGAGCTTGAGAGGATCTGCAGAGAAGAATGGGAGAAACTCCCCAAATACAGGTGTGCCAAGCTTGTAGCGTCATACCCAAGAAGACTCGATGCTGAAATCGCTGCCACAGGTGCTTCAACAAAGTATTGAGTAAAGGGTCTGAAAACGTATGTAAATGATATTTCTTATTTTGTATAAATTAGCAAAAATGTCTAAAAACCTGTTTTTGCTTTGTCATTATGGGGTATTGTGTGTAGATCAATGAGGGAAAAAAAATATTTAATCAATTTTAGAATAAGGCTGTAACCTAACAAAATGTGGAAAAGGTCAAGGGGTCTGAATACTAGCTAGGCTAGGGGTTAGGTTAAAGGGTTAAGGTTAGGGTTAGGGGAAGGGTTAGCTAACATGCTAAGTAGTTGCAAATTGAACACGCAACCTTTGGGTTGCTAGACGTTCATGTTATACACCTACCCATCCACCCTGACCAACTACGATCCTTTCGTTTTTGCCTTAAGTAACCTTCTGTCCATACACTGTAACAGCCAGGTCAGCCTTGATACAAGTCACTATCCGTCGTCCATCCATGTCTGAGGATGTCGGGACATGACATAGAAACCGGCCACTAGGGGCAACATTGAGCACATTTGCCTCTGATTCCAAAGGTTGCAAGTTTGAATACAGCCATAGAGAGTTGTTTTGATCTTTTTATTTTAAGCTTATCCCAAACCTTAACTCTTACCTTAACCATTCAGAGTTAATGGCTAACCTTAAGAATTTGGAGTTAATGCCTGAACTTAACCTTAAATACTAATTCTGACTTGAGACTGAGAGCCGATAGCACTGTAAACCCCAAGGCATTTTTAACTAAAATACTTTTAGTAAATTGAACTCAAAGTCAATGAAAAGTCATTATTACTTAAAATGTTTATGTGGTACTGACTCAAAACTAAATGACAAGTCAGAAGTACATTTCTCAGGTTTTCCAGAAATCCCAGTTGGAAGATTAATGGAAATCCTTCAACCAAGATTATTTTTATTTTTTTTGGAATTTTGTAAAAGTTACTGCAATTTTGCTATGCTTCAAAATAAGGCCTTATGATTTATGTAATTATTGTCATAAATAGTTTAATTATAATGATACCATCTGCCTAGGAACTCACTTGGTGAAGGCCACAGGACTGAAAATGAATGAGATTACAACCATGTCTCTTTCACTAACAAATACAGTCATGGGTGGTAACTCTACAATTCACTAGAAAAGGTAAGGCACACTGGGAAATTATATTGGAGGCATAGCTTAGTGGGGGCGTTACTCAAAAGGTTCAAGCAGATACAACTCAAATCTGGACCCCCTACAGCAGTGGTCACCAACCGCGACTGGTCGATCTCCAAGGCATTCCTAGTCGATCGCCTAACGATACAGCCTTACGTTCGTATTTTGTTTTATTCGTTTTGTGCTGTTGGCGGTAGGTGCACTTGATTCAGCAGCCCTAGCGCCGGGAAGGAAAGTGTTCCCATTTTGAACCATTTCATGTGTCTGAAGGTAGAACTCTGCCTACACGGCAGGCCCAGAGAGCAAATCAAGTGCACCTATAGGCCTACCGCTAGCCAATCCGAAAGCTCAGATCACTGTGTCTGCACAGTTTTCTTGAACCATAGACTATAAAAAGAAGCCTGGAATGCACAGCAAAGTTGATACTGTGAGATTACAAAATGTTTAAAACTATGACTAGAGAGAGACTTAACAAATACAGAAAATAACTGCTGTTTTTATGAGTAAGTTTAAGTTGTTTAAGTTGTTATTCAACACTAGTGTCAACACTTTTTGTTCAATACTTTTATAAGCCATAAAATATGTGTTATCCCTACTTCCACTCACACTACAACCAGCACTGTAGCTGCAATGAATGACTATAGCAAAGTGTTCCCATAATTTTGCCTTATTATTAGCGGCTTGTTTCTTTTTTAATATCAAGGAATATTCAACTTTCTCTGTTCATAGGAGTAACAACATGAATTGGTGCATGAGGCAGAAATAATGCAGTGTAACTTGAGTTTTCGCCATCAGCTTGAAGACTGTGTCCCCTTTTCTCAGCGGATGGAGGGAGAGCAGAAGGATGGTGAGTTGGGTAAGAGGCAGCCTCACCGCTGCTCCCTCCCCTCAGACTGACCATCAGATGCAGTTCATCAGTCCAGTAAAAAAAATGTACGCGCTGATTGTTATGCTCACTCAGCTGTGCCTCACAAGTTATAGAGCAAATTATCTATTTGATAATATACCTACATTTAAAAAATATAATTTCAAAATGGTCTGAGAAGAACAACATTGACAGGGCAATTCAAACATAGCCAATATGCAGTGATAATGTAGGCCTGTAGCCTACTGTCACGATCGTCTTGAGAAGAAGCGGGCCAAGGCGCAGCGTGATATGCGTACATAATATTTATTGAATGTATAACACAACGAACAAAACAACAAACGATACGAAACGTGAAGTCCTACGGTTACACAAACCAAACGGAACAAGATACCACACCAAAACAATGCCAAACGGCTACCTAAGTATGGCTCCCAATCAGAGACAACGAGCTACAGCCGTCTCTGATTGGGAACCACCCTGGCCAACATAGAAATACCAAACTAGAACATAAAACAATGAAAACTCACACCCTGGCTCAACATACAAGAGTCCCCAGAGCCAGGGTGTGACACCTACTTCAAAAACCTCATTACTACTGAACTATTTTTAATTGGTTAATGTTGCATAGGCTTATGTTTTATAAGTCATGTTTAAAAAAAATCTAAGCGGTAGATGTTGGCTTGCATTTTGACTCAGAAAGTGATCTTGACTCAGAAAAGGTTGGTGACCACTGCCCTACAGGGTCACAGTGACTCTATCAGTTTGAGTAATGACTACAAAATCACGTTTTGAGTAATGACAGCACATTGGTGTTTACACTGTACCAAACGTAACATATCATACTCATTTGAGTGTCCTGGATTTACATTGACTATGTTACGTCTAGTGTACGAGACCAGACTGGTAGAAAAGAGGAGTTAGAGCTTAATTAAAGCTGCAATATGTAACCTTTTGGATGACCTGACCAAATTCACAAAGAAATGTGTTATAGATTTGTCATTCTCATTGAAAGCAAGTCTAAGAAGCGGTAGATCTGTTCTATGTGCGACATTTCTGTGCTTCCCATTCTTAAGATTTGTTTTTGCATCTTTTACTTTCGGTTTTGTACACCAGCTTCAAACAGCTGAAAATAAAATATTTTTGGCTATGACAAATGTATTTCACAGCGTTTAGATGGGACAATGATTCTCTTCACTATACTTGCTTGTTTTGTCACATAAACTGAAATTCGACTAACTATTAGAATTTTAGCAACCAGGAAATGGAGAAGTGATTTCTGCATAGTGCATCTATCACGTTTCAGGAGAATACCCAGATGCAGACAGTGTCGAAGTAACAAACGTTTATTACAAAAACAGGAGGCAGGCAAACGACAGGTCAAGGGCAGGCAGAGGTCAGTAATCCAGATCAGAGTCCAAAAGGTACAGAACGGCAGGCAATCTCAGGGTCAGGGCAGGCAGAGGTCAATAATCCAGGGTGGTGTGACAAAATACAGAACGGCAGGCAGGCTCAGGGTCAGGGCAGGCAGAATGGTCAAAATCAGGAAAACTAGAAAACATGAACTTGAAAAAGACAGGAACAAGGGGAAAACTGCTGGTAGGCTTGACGAAACAAAATGAACTGGCAACAGACAAACAGAGAACACAGGTATAAATACACTGGGGATAATGGGGAAGATGGGCGACACCTGGAGGGGGGTGGAGACAATCACAAAGACAGGTGAAACAGATCAGGGTGTGACAGCATCTTTAAGACTTACTGTAGAATATATGAGATAATGATATCATACTGATATCATACTGTTATTCTGTGACTCCCAATCCCACAAGTTAAAACAGTGAAACACAGAATATGTATTTTCATGGATTTATTAGAGAGATCATACAGTATATGGTTTATTACTATGCAATACCAGATTATAGGACCTGGTCTAACACAATAAGTGTTGCTTTGGGAAAATGGGAAGAATAGATTAATGCTCTCCCAGTGTTAAAGAGCTGATAATTGAAGGTAACAGCAGACATTATGTTTGTGTAATCAGTTAGCTTCACTCCACCCAGCAATTACTCTGGGGATGTAGGATGCGACACAGGGAGAGGTATCTAGCGGTTACAGGCAGGTAGCCTAGCGGTTAAGCGAGTTGGGCCAGTAATCGAAAGGTTGGTGTTCGTATCCCAGAGCCGACTAGGTAAAAAATCTGTATGTGCCCTTGAGCAAGGCACTTAACGCTAATTGCTCCAGGGTCGCCATCAATAATGGCTGATCCCTGGCTCTGACCCCACTCTCCAAGGGTGTCTCAGGGGTAGTGGGATATGCAACAAAAAAAAAAACTTTCCAATTCACATGTGTATAATACACACCTTTACATGTGTGAAATAGGACACATGTAAGCACCCACCTTATTATTATTATCCGTGGCAGGTTGGGTAAATGCCAGTCCCAAACATTAAACTGCAATCTTTTTTTAATCTTTGTCTTTCGTTCTGGTGATTAAATTGGTATAGTTGTATACAGAGGTTGGGATTTGTACATAGTCTTCTCTTCTGTCTTACAGAACTGGTTGCTTTTACATGGTCATTTGTAAGCAGGAATCTAACGAATCCCATAATCCCCACTGTATTGAAGCCCTTTCTGTTCTATAAAAGCATCGTCACACAGGTGTGTGTGTGTGTGTGTGTGTGTGTGTGCGTGCTTGTGCGTGCGTGTTTGTGTGTGAGTGTGTGTGTGTGTGTGTGTGTGTGTGTGTGTGTGTGTGTGTGTGTGTGTGCGAGTTGATGCCTGTGTTGTCAGACTGTGTCTGTCTCTATAATAATGTGTAATTAGTCCATAGTTCAACCTAGCATTCCGCTGAGACACTCAGTATGGATACACTCATTACCCCCCCCCTCTCTCTCTCTCTCTCTCTCTGTGGAATAATTTAGGGCAGTATCTGACCCAGTTGCTGTGAGTGTGTATGGGTAATTATTCTGTGCTGAGTTTAGAAGTTAGGGTAGTTATATTCTGTGCCAACTCAGACAAACTGCACTGTCTATACATGAATGGAGCAGAGCTGGGTCTGGATTGGTCAGTTTGACAGACATGCACTTGTACATCTAGGGTTAAATTATAGATGTATTGGAGATGATCAACTATTTTTTTTTTTATCATGCACATAGAGCTTACAAAGTAGTACTTATATGTTTATGTAAATGTTGAGGTTTTTGGCCAAATGAAAGCTGAGAGGTAAAAACCTTACCACAACTTATTACCTCCCCTCTCTCTCTCTCTCTCTCTCTCTCGCTCTCTCTCTCTCTCTCTCTCTCTCTCTCTCTCTCTCTCTCCTCTCTCTCTCTCTCTCTCTCTCTCTTCTCTCCTCTTCTGTCTCTTCTCTGTCTCTCTCTCTCTCTCTCTCTCTCTCTCTCTCTCTCTCTCTCTCTCTCTCTCTCTCTCTGTCTCTGTCTCTGTCTCTCTCTCTGTCTCTCTCTCTCTGTCTGTCTGTCTGTCTGTCTGTCAATTCAATTCAATTCAATGGGCTTTATTGGCATGGGAAACATATGTTTACATTGCCAAAGCAAGTGAAATGGATAAACAAAAGTGAAATACACAATAAAAAGTGAACCGTAAATATTACACTCACACAAGTTCCAAAATAATAGAGACATTTCAAATGTCATGTTATGTATATATGCAGTGTTGTAACGATGTGCAAATAGTTAAAGTACAAAAGGGAAAATAAATAAACATAAATTTGGGATGTATTTACAATGGTGTTTGTTCTTCACTGGTTGCCCTTTTCTTGTGGCAACAGGTCACAAATCTTGCTGCTGTAATTGCACACTGTGGTATTTCACCCAATAGATATGGGACTTTATCAAAATTGGATTTGTTTTTCAAATTCTTTGTGGGTCTGTGTAATCTGAGGGAAATATGTGTCTCTAATATGGTCATACATTTGGCAGGAGGTTAGGAAGTGCAGCTCAGTTTCCACCTCATTGTGTGGGCAGTGTGCACATAGCCTGTCTTCTCTTGAGAGCCAGGTCTGCCTCTGGTGGCCTCACTCAATAGCAAGGCTATGCTCACTGAGTCTGAACATAGTTAAAGCTTTCCTTAATTTTGGGTCATTCACAATGGTCAGGTATTCTGCCACTGTGTACTCTCGGCCAAATAGCATTCCAGTTTGCTCAGTTTTTTGGTTAATTATTTGTGTCAAGTAATTATTATTATTTTTTCTCATAATTTGGTTGGTTCTAATTGTGTTGCTGTTGGAGTCCTGGGGCTCTGTTGGGTCTGTTTGTGTTTGTGAACAGAGCCCCAGGACCAGCTTGCTTAGGGGACTCTTCTTTAGGTTAATCTCTCTGTAGGTGATGGCTTTGCTATGGAAGGTTTGGGAATTGCTTCCTTTTAGGTGGATGTAGAATTTAACGGCTCTTTAATTGATTTTGATAATTAGCGGGTATCAGCCTAATTCTGCTCTGCTTGCATTATTTGGTGTTTTACGTTGTACACAGAGGATATTTTTGCAGAATTCTGCATGTAGAGTCTCAATTTGGTGTTTGTCCCATTTTGTGAATTCTTGGTTGGTGAGCGGACCCCAGACCTCAGAACCATAAAGGGCAATGGGTTCTATAACTGATTCAAGTATTTTTAGCCAGATCCTAATTGGTATGTCAAATTTTATGTTCCTTTTGATGGCATAGAAGGCCCTTCTTGCCTTGTCTCTCAGATCGTTCACAGCTTTGTGGAAGTTACCTGTGGCGCTGATGTTTAGGCCGAGGTTTGTATAGTTTTTTGTGTGCTCTAGGGCAACGGTGTCTAGATGGAATTTGTATTTGTGGTCCTGGCAACTGGACCTTTTTTGGAGCACTATTATTTTTGTCTTACTGAGATTTACTGTCAGGGCCCAGGTCTGACAGAATCTGTGCAGAAGATCTAGGTGCTGCTGTAGGCCCTCCTTGGTTGGGGACAGAAGCACCAGATCATCAGCAGACAGTAGACATTTGACTTCAGATTCTAGTAGGGCCGGGTGCTGCAGACTGTTCTAGTGCCCTCGCAAATTTGTTGATGTATATATTGAAGAAGTTGGGGCTCAAGCTGCATCCCTGTCTCACCCCATGGCCCCGTGGAAAGAAATGTGTGTGTTTTTGCCAGTTTTAACCGCACACTTGTTGTTTGTGTAAATTTCTTTTATAATGTTGTATGTTTTTCCTCCAACACCGCTTTCCATCAATTTGTATAGCAGACCCTTATGCCAAATTGAGTCAAAAGCTTTTTTGAAATCAACAAATCATGAGAAGACTTTGCCTTTGTTTTGGTTTGTTTGTTTGTCAATTAGGGTGTGCAGGGTGAATACGTGGTCTGTCGTACAGTAATTTGATAAAAAGCTAATTTGACATTTGCTCAGTACATTGTTTTCACTGAGGAAATGTATGAGTCTGCTGTTAATTATAATGCAGAGGATTTTCCCTAGGTTGCTGTTGACACATATCCCACAATAGTTATTGGGGTCAAATTTGTCTCCACTTTTATAGATTGGGGTGATCAGTCCTTGGTTCCAAATATTGGGGAAAATGCCAGAGCTGAGCATGATGTTAAAGAGTTTAAGCATAGCCAATGGGAATTTGTGGTCTGTATATTTTATCATTTCAGGAAGCAGCTTCCTCCGAAGCTGCCTCCCCTCCTTGTTTGGGCAGGCTTCAGCGTTCGTCGTCACTGGCCTTCTAGCCACTGCCGCTCCTCATCTCATCATTCAATTTTTTTTGTCTTGTTTATTACACACACCTGGTTCATATCCCCTCATCAGTACCTGTATAAGTATTCCCTCTGCCCCCCCTTGTCTTTGTGTGTGATTGTTTATTGTGGAGGTTACTATAGCTCAGTGGAGCTATATTGTATTAAGGATCGCCGGGATATTCACCCATGTGCCTTGTTTTCTCCAGTGCGCCGTAATACCACACTGGAGTGTTTTACGCATTGCTGCGTACCGCCGTCTTACCGAATAAACCATTTATTCTGTGATTTACCCTCCTGCGTCCAAATCACCTGCCACATTTCATTTAGGATACCATCAACACCACAGGCCTTTTTGGGTTGGAGGGTTTGTATTTTGTCCTGTAGTTCATTCAATGTAATTGGATAATCCAGTGGGTTCTGGTAGTCTTTAATAGCTGATTCTAAGATTTGTAATTAATAATGTATATGCTTTTGCTGTTTGTTCTTTGTAATAGAGCCAAAAAGATTGGAGAAGTGGTTTATCCATACATCTCCGTTTTTGATAAATAACTTGTGTTGTTGTTTATTTAGTGTGTTTCAATTTTCCCAGAAGTGGTTAGATTCTATGGATTCTTGAATTACATTGAGCTGATTTCTGACATGCTGTTCCTTCTTTTTCCGTAGTGTATTTCTGTATTGTTTTAGTTATTTACCATAGTAGGCTCTGATTTTCTGGGTCTCTATGTTTTTGGTTCGATAGGTTTCTCAATTCCTTTCTTAGGTTTTCGTATTCTTCATCAAACCATTTGTCATTTTTGTAAATTGTCTTAGGTTGTCTGCTTGAAATTGTTAGACTTGATAGGGAAGCTCTCTCTCTCCCCTTCCTCTCTCTCTCTCTCGTTGTAATCCTGTGTTGGCCTTTTAACGGGATTACATGCCTCATTTAGGGGAACATAAGAACAGAGCAGCACTGAGGTAACACACACACACACACACACATACTGGAGGAGTTTGAATGTGGTCTGAATGGAGATGTGTGCAAAACAGATGATATCATCAAACCATTCACAAATCTGCCATGCTGTGGAGAGACTGTGATGGAAGGAGGCTGGCCACGCTAGTAGGGAATATTTACACACAAGTATGGATGCAGGCACACGCAAACACGCACACAAACGCATGCACGCTCGCACACACACACACACACACACACACACACACACACAAACACACACACACACACAGAGAGCTCCAGGGCTTTAGAGCTTAGGCACTACAGAGAGGAGAAGAGAGGCAGATTAGGTGTCTGAAATTTGGGACACTTGTGACTTGGCAATGAAACTCATCCAAGACGAGTCCACTGAGACATTTAGGGACACGATTCTTCCTTATACCTCACCTCCTCCCAACGCAACCTCACCTCTTTCACTCCCCCAGTCTTCTCTCTTTCACTTCCCCCTCCCCACAGAAATTCCAGAGCAGGCATCCTTAGCCCCACCCCCCCACTCCCCTCTCTGTGTCTTTCCCTCTCCCCAGTCACAATCCTCTGGACACATTTTTTTTTTTTTTTTTTTATTTCACCTTTATTTAACCAGGTAAACCAGTTGAGAACAGGTTCTCATTTACAACTGTGACCTGGCCAAGACAAAGCAAAGTAGTGCAACAAAAACAACACAGAGTTACATATGGGGTTAAAAAAAAACATAAAGTCAGAGATACAACAGAAAATATATATACAGTGTGTGCAAATGTAGCAAGTTATGGAGGTAAGGCAATAAATAGGCTATAGTGCAGAATAATTACAATAGTATTAACACTGGAATGCTAGATGTGCAAGAGATTATGTGCAAATAGAGATAATGGGGTGCAAAAGAGCAAATTAAATAACAATATAGGGATGAGGTAGTTGGGTGGGCTAATTTCAGATGGGCTGTGTACAGGTGCAGTGATCGGTAAGGTGCTCTGACAACTGATGCTTAAAGTTGTTGAGGGAGATAAGAGTCTCCAGCTTCAGAGATTTTTGCAATTCGTTCCAGTCATTGGCAGCAGAGAACTGGAAGGAATGGCGGCCAAAGGAGGTGTTGGCTTTGGGAATGACCAGTGAGAT